TGAAACTCAGCAGCAAGGAGAGCAGAGGCAGCCAGGAAAGCACCTAAGACTCTCCCAGATGAGAACGAATCCTTTCTCTGACCAAAGGAACTGTGGTTTGAGAAGTGAGGAGAGGAATTCCCATTGTCACTTTTTTAAGGTTTTCTGTCATAGGGCACAGGCGCTTGCAGGAGAAACAATGAGAGGGAAAGTGAGAAGTCACACCCTGAGGGGATGGCCATGCTGTAATCCTTTCGCCTCCTGGGATTTTGGGCATGCACGCACACGTGCCTGGCATGAGCTTCAAGCCACCAGGTCTGCCCCCCTCCATTGCCATTCTTCTTCTTTTCTTCTTCTCCCTCCCATTGCCATTCTTCTTCTTCTCTTCTTCTTCCTCCTCCTCCTTCTTCTCCTCCTTCCCCCTCCATTGCCATTCTTCTTCTCTTCTTCTTCCTCCTCCTCCTTCTTCTCCTCCTTCCCCCTCCATTGCCATTCTTCTTCTCTTCTTCTTCCTCCTCCTCCTTCTTCTCCTCCTTCCCCCTCCATTGCCATTCTTCTTCTTCTCTTCTTCTTCCTCCTCCTCCTTCTTCTCCTCCTTCCCCCTCCATTGCCATTCTTCTTCTCTTTTTTCTTCTTCCCCCCTCCATTGCTATTCTTTTCTTCTTCGCCTCCCCCTCTCCATTGCTATTATTTTCTTCTTCCTTCTCCTACTCCTTCTTCTTCCCCCCTCCATTGCCATTCTTCTTCTTCCCCCACCATTGCCATTCTTCTTTTCTTCTTTCTTCTCTTCCTCTTCCTTCTTCAAGAACCATTACTTATTTATTTATTCATCCATTTTAATTTGACCAGAGAGGGACAGGACTCAAATCACAGTTGGCCATGTAGTTAACCCCATACCACCTGCCGGCTCCCTCATTGCCATTCTTAATGTCTTTAACCTGTCACTCAGACTCAGAACAGATTCAGTCATGGACTGTATACAGAAAACAAGGGATACTAAAGGCCTAGGCTAATTTCTAACTAGAAATCCAGCAAGAGGGGAAAGGTGATCTTGGAAACTAGAGAGTGTAGGGGAGACTGTGGAGATGAAGGAGCTAGAGTAATGGAGCCCCTAAAGCTGTACATGAGCTCTAAGGCTCACATCTGTGGATCTGATCCTAAATGGTATTGCTGTAGTATAGATATTTTATTGCCAGAGGGCATGTGCGCTTGCCAGAGGGAGAGAGAGGGGAAAACGCCCAACCATACACTGTACAAGAAACTCAATATCATGATACAGATTGGTTCAAAGAGTGGAGCAGCAGGTGATGTGGTGATTAAGGCACTGGATCCCACATAGATGACTATACGGGAGTCCAGAGACATAATCATTATGCTACTGGTCGCTAATAACTAATTTTTTTTCCTAGTAACTCTTTTTTTTTTTTTGAGAGGTTTTTCACTATAGGGCGCGTGTGCTCGCCAGAAAGACAGAAAGACAGAGAGATAGAAAGTGAGAAATCACCCCCAGGGGGGTGGCCACATCATAATCCCTTCTCCTCTATTCTCCTCTTGGGATCTTGGACATGCATGCACACGTGCCGGGAGTGGGTTTAAGCCACCAGGTCTGGGACTTGAACTGTGGTCAACTACATAGGAGTCCAACGACATAGCCATTATGCCAAATGCTATTCCCATCTAATAACTAATTATCTAAAAAAAATTTTTTGAGAGGTTTTTGCTATAGGGCACGTGCGCTCGCCAGAAAGACACAGAGACAGAGAGACAGAAAGCGAGAAATCACCCCCTAGTGGAGATGGCCACACCACAATCCCTTCTCCTCCATTCTCCTCCTGGGATCCTGGGCACGCACGCACGCGCGCCTGGCGTGAGTTTAAACCACCAGGTCCTGGACTTGAACCGCGGTAGACCACATGGGAGTCCAGCGACATAGCCATTATGCTAACTGCTAGTTCCCCCCAATTTTTTTTTAAATGTTAGAGGTTTTTACCTTAGGGTACGTGTGCTTTCTGGAGAGAGAGACACAGAGACAGTGAGAAGAAGAATGAGAAATCACCCCCCTGAGGGGATGGCCACACCACAATCCCTTCTCCATTCTCCTCCCAGGATCTTGGGCACGCAAGCACATGCCCCTAGTGTGAGTTTAAAGCCACTAGGTCCAGGACTTGAACCGCAGTAGGCCATGTGGGAGTCCAGTACATCAACTACCATGCCCTTTACTGGCTCCCTTTCCCTCTATTCTCCTCGGGATTTTGGGAATGGACGTGGTATGATTTTTCAAGCCACTAGGTCCTGGACTCAAAACCATAGTTAACCATGTGGGAATCCAATACCTTAACCACCACTCCATCTGTTGACCCCTAGAAAATAAAAATGAAGCAACTCAAAATTTGTGGTATACAGGTCCTGACTGAATCCTAGTGGATTTATAAGAGGGAATGAGACAGACACATGGACACAGATATCTGCTGTGCCCTTGCTCTGTGTCACCATGAGATTCCCAGTGCTGTCTTGGGACTAGAGAAAGACCCCACTAGCAAGACTTCACCAGCTGTGGCCCCTTGACTTGGACCTCCAAAACTGTGAGGCAAATAAACCTCTATTCTTTTTTCTTTTAAGAATTTATTTTAATTTTATCTATTATTATTATTTTTAAAATTTGACCAGAGAGAGAAGGGAAAGTAAGAAAGCAAGCTGCCAGGTTTAAGACTCAAACCACTGTTGACCATGTGGAAGTCCAGCACTTTAACCACACCACCTGCCAGCCCCTAAACTTCTATTCTTTCTAAAACACTCAGACTCTGATATTCAGTTATTAAGCAATAGGATGATGGGCTAAAATAAGTATATATTCTAAAGAAATGAAAACTTCTGTTCACACAAAAGCCAATACACAAACATTTATAGTAACTTTATTTATAATCACCGAAAACTATCAACAATCCAAATATCCTTCAATGGGTGAATGTAAAACACACTGGTACATTCATAAAATGAAATATTGCTCGTTCACAAAAAGCAACAACATGGATGGCTCTCAAAGGCAGTATGCTGCTGGGAGCAGGTAACTGTTAGGTCACAGACCCAGTATGACTCTATTTAAGTGACATTCAGGAAAAGGCAAATCTACAGGGACAGAAATTGGGGTGACCACAAAGAGGAAGCTTGAGAAGATTTTTTGGGTGATGGAACTTCATGCCTTGACTGTGGTTGTAGACACACAAATCTATCCATGTATTAAAAATCATGTAACTGTTAAGTCCAAAAAAATTAATTTTATGGCATATTAACTTAGACTTTTAAAAAATGAAAAACAGATTCAAATAAAGTCATTTTTAAAAACGCTTTAAATGTTCTGAGTTTCTGCCCCAAAGATTGTTTTGTAAGGGTTCTGCTGTACCAGCCCTGATGTCTGCTTTTCCATCTGTAAAATGAGACAATCAGTCTAGAACAGTGATTTTCCTCCTTCTTCTCCCCTGCTTCCCAAAACTGCACCTTGGGCATACCCTTTGTCAAAGTGGTGTGAGTAGGCTCTGGGCCCACAGTTTGGCATCAAGCAGAGCAGCTGTGCTTTTGTCTGTCTCATGTTGTTTGCCTGAAAACATCTGGATTAGAACAGCTGGTCTTCAACTGGATCCTCTGGCACAATCCCAGACTCCTGGGCCTAGCAGTGGGCCCACTCATTTGTCCCTTTGACATGAGCCCTGTGGATTCTAGCAGTCAGTCAGACCAGGGTGCTGGCTCAGTAGTCAGCAATTCTACACAAGGCCTCTTGGGGAAAGATGGACTTGTGCTCCTGGCTTTGGGCACTCCAGGTCACGTGGTTTAAATACAGTGGGAATGCTGACAAGCTGCTAACCTAGGCCTCCTTCGATGTTGGGTCTGAAAGGACTTAAACCATTTTATCCCCCCACGCAGGGTGACTTTTTGAAAGAGCACTTTGTAAACATTAAAGGGCTGTGCACAGATGAGGGAAATGCCCTTATGAGGATGACTGAGCTGACCTAGAACCAGCAAGGCCAAAGAGTCTGTCGCTCATGACCACAATTGTCAGAGCTGTCATTCACACTAAGCATGTGCTGTGTGCTTAGTACCATACTAAGGAGTTGCTGAATCTTCACAATGACTCTGTGAGGAAAGGGCTGTCACTGGTCAAACAGATGAAGACACTGAGGCTCCCAGAGGCCCCAGGTCACATGGACAGGAGGTGACAGAGCTGGGTCGTGGTCAGCAGCTCCAGCCTTCCAAACCAGAGCTTGTGAGAACTCATGAGGCCTAATATCAGGCTTGATCTCATCCTGTGCCCTGGAAAAATGGACTGTCATCAAAAGTTGGTGGAGGATCACCAACGGCTCTTTTGCTATCTTGCCATGTACAGTAGCACTCAAAAAAAATGTTTTAAAAATGTTATACAGTGGAATGCTTTCCTTGAAAACTGTCTTATGCATTAGTCCAAGCTAGAAAACCAGAGTTGGGTCACTTTAATGAAGGCAGAAACAGGGGTAGTCTGGGACCTGCAGCACTCCCAAAGCACCACTTGAAGGCCACTTATCCAGTAGGCCGCCTTTTTCTGTGAAAAGCACAGGAGGCACTATGATGCTTAAGGCTCTGGCCTTGGGTAGGGAAGAATAAGCTGGGCTTGTGGCAGCTCATTCCCAAGTCAGGTAGTCTGTGGGAAGGCTGCAAGTTTCCAGGCCTGACATATGCCTGGGCACTAGTCTGACTGTCCCAGGCACCATCTGCCTCGTCCTACCCTCTGACCAGCATCCATGATCCATGGGTGGCTACTCATAGGGTAGAAAACTCATCTTTGCTATCTTACAATTAGTAAGTTGAATCTTTTTTTAAAGTTTTTGCCATAGGGTGCATGAGCTCATCAGAGAGAGAAGGAAAGTAAGAAATCACTCCCGAGGAGGGATGGCCATGCCAGTTGGTTCTCTTCTATTCTCCTTTTGGGATTTTGGGCACGCACACACATGTGCCCAGCATGATTTTCAAGGCTTCAAGTCTGGGACTTGAACTGTAGTCGGCTATGTGAGAGTCCAGTGCCTTAACCACCACTTACTTGCTGGCCCCAGTAAGTTTCATCTTTAAAGCTATGGGCTACAAAGTGAAAAGCTGCAGCAACTCTTTCTTCTTTCTTGACCTTATAAAGGCATCATCTGTTTTTTGCTGCATCAACAGAAGTAGAATGTTTGAGTTTAGATCTTGGTCCAGGATCAACAGGTCTGTACCCCTAGCCCCCGATGCAGGGGCGGGTGGGACGGCTCACAGTGGAATCATCAAGCGGACCTCCTTCTCATAGATGTCAGGGATCATGCCCACTGGGGAGCTGACCATGCGCACGGTATTCTTGCCAAACAGCTGGAACTCGTAGTGGATGAGCTGCTCCCAAAAACCACTGTTGGGTCGAATGATGGGTCGGCACGACTTGGTCCACGTGTGGGCGTCCAGCAGGGACATGGCATGGTACTTCATGAGGTAGGCCAGGCACAGGGTGGCCGAGCGGCTCACGCCAGCGGCACAGTGCAGCAGGGTGCGACCCTGTTTCAGATCCACACTGTGGATGTGGTCGGCAATAGGGTCGAAGAAGTCACGGAGCTGCGAGACAGGCATGTCAGCCACAGGCACCTGCATATACTGGATGTCCTCATACAAGGTGTTCACCACCTCCACCGAGACGTTGATGACCGTGGTGATCTGGTGGCTGGACAGCAGGAGCTTGTTGTTGGCAGCACCGCCATTGCTGAGATAGAGGCTTCTGGTAATCTGTGAGAGGCCGCTGATTGAGGGCTGCCGGAACTGAACCGGGAAGGCACACGGGGATGCTGTCATCAAGGCAGGGAGTGGGTCAGCCGTCAGTGCCGTCTGAGAGCATCTTTTTGTGTCCACAGAAAACTGTAGGGAGGAGAGGACGGTTAGAGGGCAGGTGCCCAGCATCCTGACCCCAGGGATTTCTGGGTGATGAATGAATGAGTCTGTAGGCTCCCCCAAGATGGTTCTCTGACATTCTCAGTAGACTTAATTACTCAGGGAACTCATTAAAATTATGAGTACCCAGGTGCCTCCTCAAAGCCAGACTCTCGGGGTGAAGAGCATGAATCTGCATTTTCAGCATGCTTCTTTGCTGGTCTGGTCTGTCCTGCCTTACAGGAAAAAGAGCAATCCTCAAGCCTGGCACCTGAGACCTCTGCGAGGAGCCCCACATCTCAAGTTGGGCAGGCTGACTTGTGTCACTCTGCTTTGTCCTGTCTTGACTCTCCCCTAGGCTCACACAGTCCTCTTCTCCCTCCTCTTTAAAATTCTCTCCTTCTGGGGCCGGCAGGTGGCATGGTGGTTAAGAGCACTGGATTCTCACATCCTGCACCTGGTAGCTTGCTTTCTCACTTTTCCTCTCTCTCTCGCTCTGTCCATATCTGGTCAAATTACAATAAATAAATATATAAATAAATAAAGTTAAATAAAATAATTCTTTAAAAAAAAACTTTTTTTCTTCTGGCTCCTCTACATGGGAACCTGGCATGGTCTCCCTCTTCAGTCTCCTGACTTATGCCCAAATCATAAGACCCTGAACCTGTGACACAGAACCAGAGCCCCCTGTGCTGGGAGTCACTGGAGGACGTGGTATGACAGTAGGGAGGGTCCCAGCTTCCTCTCTCCAAGAACCAGCTCTTTGAAGAGCTAGGATATAACCATGTGAAACTGATGTCTCAAATGACAAAGCCCTTTATTATTAAATGTGCTCCCATACCTGACATTTAAGGAGGGCTTGAGGGAGGGAGTGGCTGGAAGCTTTCCAGAGGCCAGCATAATGGCCACAGCACCCCAGGACCGAGTGCAGGGGCAGTGGGGTCTCAAAGGCTCACCACACCCGCACCACGCTGCCTGCATCAGGGCTGTGGCAGGCACCCTAGGGAGAGGAGATCTCTGCCTCTTCTAAGAAGTTTCAGGCCCTAACTTTCACAATCTTGAACAGAGCTGCAAAACAGCACATCCTTATGTGTCTCGCTGAAATAAGGGCATCTGAATGTAGACCTCACCTCTCATGGCTCAATGGCAGTCTTCAGCAGGCACCAATGAGGAGCCAAAGTTTTGTTCCTGCTTAATGTATCTGAGTGGCTGCCCACTGTCAGGATAAGAGGGAGCCCCTTAACTAGGCCATCAAAAGCATACGTCTCCATTTTCCTGTTGGCCTTCCCCATGTCCTACCTAATGGCCTCAGTGAGACTGAGCCACTTTCAGTTCCTTCCAGACATCCTGTCTGCTGTAGCCAGGGGCCTTTGACTGATATTCTCAGCCCCTTTGCCTTTTTTTTTTTTTTTTTTTTTTGCTATAGGGTGTGTGTGCTCCTTAGAGAAAAACATCCCTTTTCCATTTTCCTCTTGGGATTTGGGCAGGCACACACACATGCCTGGTGCGATTTTGTGATTTTCTTTCTTTCTTTCTTTCTTTTTTTTTTTTCTTTTTTTGAGAGGTTTCTACTATAGGGTGCGTGTGTTCTCCAGAAAGACAGAGAGAGACAGAGAGACAGAAAGCGAGAAATCACCCCCCAGGGGGATGGCCATGCCACAATCCCTTCTCCTCCATTCTCCTCTCTGGATCTTGGGCACGTAAGCACATGCACCTGGCATGAGTTTAAGCCGTCAGGTCCAGGACTCGAACCACCCAGCAACATAGCCATTATGCCAACTGCTGGTCCTGCCTGGTGTGATTTTCAAACTGCTGGGTTTGGGATTCGAACCATGTAGCCAGCCATGTGAGACCCAGCCTTAATCTCCATGTCATCTGCTGGCCCAGGACTTTCTTTCCTTATTAACTTATTAGGTCTTGACCTGTTCCATTCAACAGAGAACTGCAAAGTTTGAGGATCCTAGCCCAAGAGATCCCTTCCTTAAAAGAAATCTCTTGAGAGCACAACCCTCCCCACTTTGATCAAGTCCCTCATCTGGGCTTTCTGAGCCCAATGTTATCTCCTTCTTAACACTTACTGATATTGTGGGACTTTGTTTTTTTCTTTTAAAAGAGTTTTTTGCCATAGGATGCAGGCAACTCGCCAGAGCCAGAGAGAGAAAAAGTGAAAAATCATCGCTGGAGGGATGGCCATGCCACAATCCCTTCTACTCAATTCTCTCTCAGGATTTTGAGTGTGCATACATGCACCCAGCCTGTTTTTCAAGATGCCAGGTCTGAGACTTGAACCTTGGAGTTGACAATGTGGGATTCAACACCTTAACCACCATACCCTGTGGTGGCCCCAAAGATGCAAGTCTCTCTCCCTTTTAAAGTTAATTGTGTTTCTTGAAAAAGAGCAAGCAGGGGAACTCTCCATAGGGCCTTACTATGTCACAATCTGCTTCTCCGAGCCCACCAGCTAGTCAGGCTCTTGGGCACTCCCTTCTAGTGTTTCAGGTTGATGTGGGATTAGAACCCACTGTGGGCTGGGTGGCTTCAAGCACTGCAGATCACTAAGACTGTACCACTGAGGCTGGGCCTAAAGATGTGGTTTTTGTCTTGATCTGATCATTTGATTAATATCTGTCTTCCCAGGAGACTGTAGGGATGAGACAGTGTTCAGCTTCATTCCAACCATATCACTCACCAGTGCCAAGTTCTACGACCACAAGTAGGTGCTTGATAAATATTTGCTGAAAGAATGACTCTAACAGCCACAACTCGGCCTTTTAACTGAGATATTTTCTGGTAAGGATGAGTTCCCTGGCCCAGTTTTCCTAGAATTTCAGAAGGGCTGGGTGGGGGTGGGGGTGGTTCTTTGCCTGATAGACAAGGCTGAAGGCTACACTGGCAAATCCTACCTACCAATGCCCCAGTGTCAAATGCATCAGACCCACCCCAGGAAGGGCAGATGGGGTTGGTCTGTCCTAAAGGTCATGTTAAAAGGCAAAGAAAAATCTCCTCAAACACAGATAGAAGCCTAAGTGCTAAAGGATATTCTGGATCGTCACCAGAAAACCCAAAAAGAAGTAGAGTAACTCCCTTGCCCTTCAACCAGTATCCAATAGGTAAAGGGAGTAGAGGGACTGCTGTTCATGTCAGCCACAAAAGGTGTGAATAAGAAGCCCTGCTCTTGAGGTAAGGGTAGTGATAGGATGAGTCATTTTCATGCTAATCAAGAAATATTGATCAGGCACTTACTAGGTGCTAAAGATAATGAAATGTACAAGCCTGCCATATCTCTTTTTTCACAGAGCTCATAGTCCAGTAAGGGAGACAGACAGGCAAGTCAGGCATCACAGAGCTAGAAAATAGGGGTAACACTGCCTACTTTATTTAAGGATGCTGTGAAGATTAAATGAGATAATCCAGATTGAGTGTTTAACAAGGCTCGGGATAGAGTGAGCCTGCTAAATGTGATGGCTAGTCTTGCTGTTGTTAGTAAAGTTTAAAATGCAAGATAATCATGAGAGTCAAGAGTAAAGGGATTGGGAACCAGCAGTTAGCGTAATGGCTATGTCGCTGGACTCCCACGTAGTCGACCGCGGTTCGCGTCCTGGACCCGGTGGCTTAAAACTCACGCCGGGCGCGTGTGCGTGTGTGCCCAAGATCCCAAGAGGAGAATGGAGGAGAAGGGATTGCGGCGTGACCATCCCCCCTGGGGGGTGATTTCTCGCTTTCTGTCTCTATGTCTCTGTCTGTCTGGCGAGCGCATGTGCCCTATAGCAAAAATCTCTCAAAAAAAAAAAAAAAAGAGTAAAGGGATTTATTCCAAGCTGGGGGCTGGGCAGTTGCAACCACTGCCTGAAGAAATGACACAGAGATCTGAAGAACTTTAGCATGAAGGGGAGGGAGGTGGAGAAACAGCCACTTGGTAGCAACTGAGTTTCACCACTGTACAGCCTTTGAAGCCCTTGGATTCCCTTCCGTGGTTCAATCTTCAAAACAACCCAATCAGACTGGTGTCTAGAGTTAATAGGCAAATGTGCCTTTCGAGTCCTGGACCCAGCGACTTGGAAAATAGCCAGGACACATGTACATGCATGCTCCAAATCCCCAGATAATGGAGGAGAAGGGATTTTGGCATGGCCATCCTCCCAGGGGGAGTGGGGTGTGATTTCTCACTTTCTCTCTCTCTCTCTGTCTCTGTCTTTGCACATGCACCTTAAACCAAAAACAATACAAAACAAAACATTTTACACAGGAGAAAAATGAGGTACAGAGAGAAAAGGGACTTGTTCAGGGCCACTGTTAGATCAACCCCTGAAAGGCTTTTAGATAATTTCCCATCAGAAAATAAGGAGATGGTTACAAGGCCCTCAGGCCAGAGCCCTCCTTTACTGCAGCTGAAACCCACAGAAGGGCCGATAAAGTCACAGTGGTGGAGCCAGTGGGTGGCGTAGTGGTTAAAAGCACTGGACTCCCTCATGGTCCACCACTGTTCAAGTCTCGGGCCAGTGGTCTGAAAATCATGCCTGGCCAGTATATGGATTCCCAAAATCCCAGAGAAGGGATTGTGACATGGCCATCCCCCTGGGGGGGTGACTTCTCAATTTCCATCTCACTAGTCTCTCCTCTCTGGTGAGCATACACGCCCTATGGCAAAAACCTTATTAAAAAAAAAAAAAAAAAGGAAAAAGAAAGCCACAGTAGCAAGTAAAGTAATCAAAATACCTGCCATTCTCCTCCCCAAACCCTTCAATATAAATACTTCGTGTCCTGGGTGGGATGGACTGAAGCACCTCCGAAAC